AAACAGATTAGTAGTACGGCTAGTTAACCAGTACACATGAACTAATTAATAGTTCTTTTATATACCATTTCGTGTTTCCTGAGCTAAACCAATCCAATCTGTTGAAAAAAACCACTCCTAGTCTGGTTTATAGGCTAAAACATTCCATCATTCTAGGTAAATCACTGTGTCTTATTGAAAAAGAATCTACTTCCAACACTTAATAAGAATTAAGGAATATCCCATTTAAAAGCCATCAAAACAAATGCATTTGGCTGTGTGGATAAAGAAAATAAACAAACAGAAGTGGTGAATAATGTTCTCTGCATCTGCCTTGTTTCCATATATGAGGACACCTCTTTGCCATATGATTAGTCTTGAGGGCATAAAACCTTGCTGTAATGTTCCATTTCTTCATTCTGAATGATTTACTGTGACTAATATGTTTGGAAACTATCTTTAAAGATCCCTCCAGATAGTATTAACACACACACATATATATAGTCTTGCACAGAAACAAATAAAGTGTGTCTGATGTATTTTTTTTCTGCAAAACATAGTATAATTCTTCTTTAAAAAACTTGTTTCCATATATGATTGTATAAATAAGTTTCATATTGTTATATATCTACATCTCTAAAGTTTTTACTGACTTGCATAATTTAAGATGTACATTCCTCCTTCACTTGTATAATGATGTCTATTCTCTAGGTTCTGTGCACTTCAACCTTTTTTATTCTCATTCTACAGCTGATATAATTATAAAATATGTGAAATTACACTACTGAGACCTAGGACTGACTTCCTAATATCTTTATGTTGATGTCAAAATCTGTTGTAGGATCCGCCCCTTATATAGCATTGATTTCCAATGAGCTCAGAGAAAACTTTCACTTTCATCAGAATGTATATTTGAAAATCCATACTTGTAAACTCATGTCACAGACATAAGATTTGTCATTTTCAAACATGAAAACTAGTAAAATAGAATAGTAACAACTAAAAGATAAACTACGTTTTATGTAATATGCTTCACCATATGGGGACAATTCCTTCTTGTGATTTTAGGCTGTGGAAATCTCGTATTGAAATGCCAATTTCTGTCTAGGATCTTTCATGATTGATAACACCATAGGCCTTCTATGATGGTTCCAACTGTACATTTTTGATATAGTAGACATCCTCTAAAAATGGGAACAAAGCAACTGTTGTTTTAGGAGAAATCTAGGGTCCACCATTTGACAGTTATTCTTTACAATATTACATGATATATGAATCCAGACGCAGGATATTGCTCACCTGTGTATCGCCTTTTACAAGAGAGAACAAGTTGACAAATCTAAGATAGAATTATATAAATTAATGTTTTTTGTATTTATTTTCTGTGTGTTCTTCCTTTCTGTTGCGAGCCTTTATGGCTCAGATCTGTAGGAAGTGTCAGACATCATTGGGTTTTTTTCCTTCCTTTCCTTTATTCTTCTTCTTCCGTTCAGTCCTAAGCTGCTCAGTGGCGTTTAAAGCCAAAAAAGCCACTTCCCGCTGTAAAGGAATTACCAGGATGAATGCATGCTGCACAATGCATCTGCATATGGCAGAGGTCTCAGTTTGTCTTGGGAGTCTCAGCTGGTATAGTCATCTCATAGGAGGGCCACTTCAGTGTTCAGATACCAAAAGAAAGCACAATATTCAGAATTTTTACATTATTAACAGAATACTTTACACAGAAGTTTCTATACATTTTTATATAATTATTTTATATCTGTATATTTTATGTATAAGTGGTACACACAGATACAGATACAACTTCTTTACTCAGGTAATGGGCATAAAGTAAAGACTCTGAAATGTACTCAAAGTATAAAAGTAAAAGGTACTCTCTTGGTTTCTCTGAAGGACATTTTCTGGCTCTTTCTGTGCAAAAGCCTAACTGAAACTTTAAATACACATAGGGTCCGGTCTCCCTCTCTTGTGCGTTACATCTTTTATGTCGTTTTCGTAATGTTCACCTGTCATGCATCATAAATGGCTGAACAAGGGAAGGACTATGAAGTTTAATTCAGTAGCTGCTGGAACCCAATCCAGAGGGGTACAAGAAGGAATCCATAAAGGTCATCTGCACAGGGAGGCCAGGTGAAGTTTTATCTTTGAGTTCCTTCTTCTTCTGACATTTATCTCTTACCCGCATTCCTCATCTGTATTTGCAGTCATACACATGTTCAGCTCACATATCTCACATATATATGGCTGGCATTTTGAAAGAGAAGCTGGCTGTAATCATCACACTCCTGTTCCCATCTTTTCATCAGTTTGACATTCTCCTCCTCATCTGGTGAATCTGTGTTCCACCTCGATGAGCAGACTTTACTAATCCTCCCCTCTGTTTGCGTGGCATAAAGCATGTGGAGCACAGTGCTGCGGTGCTGGCTGCCTCATCAAATAATAGAATGTATTAAATATACATTGCATGGATCTTACAGCCTCAGAAACAACCTCACACTCAGTATGGAGCCTATTTTTTAAATTCACAAAGAACATCTAATTATTCATTTTCACTGCGCTCTGAAAACGACTCATTGAAGAGCTCATTTACGGTGGCTTCGTTCTCTCTGAAGGCAGCCTGTCTGATTGCTGTGCTAATTTTCCTCTCATATATCTCGCTGCTTGGTACAAATAACACCATGATACAAACAACAACATATTGTGGAGCATAGATAAGAATGTATTTATGCCTCACAAAGAATCATACGGGGCCAGTCTGAATGTTTTTGGGGGCTTGAAAGAGCACTGGGTCTTGTTTTCTCTAAAACAAAGAGGAATACTTGTTCAGTTCTGTGGCAGACTGATAAAAAGTGTTAAACAAAAAAGTGCAAAAATATATCTTTACAGCACTCACAGATAAATCACTTTGTATTATCTATGGTCACTTAGGGATTCCAACTTTTGAATAAAATCTAATTTAATCAAAAATATGTCAGAAGCTAAAGATGCTCTAACTGCACTTTCAAATAAGGAAACCAGTGGCCACCACTGAAATCTGATTGGCCACCTCATTATGCTTACCTAAGACAAATACTTGGTGCAACTCCTGCATAAGTCAGTGCCCCACTTGTGCCACCCCAGTCAAAAAAGTCTTGAAAGGCCTCTGAGCCTCAACAAAGTGTTGCCAAAGTTTCAGTAACTTGTTCGGAAACTTTTGGGTTGGGTTGAGGGGCCTTTGTGGCAAAACTTTTCAATACGATGTTCATGTTTCTGGGGAACACTTCTTTCCACAAATTAGCAGAGAAACTCACACTGGGACATGCAATAAAGAAAGTTGTTTAGTCTGTACAGACTTCATCCAGCCTGCTAACTGTCCCCAACACTTGACGATTCATAATGCATAGAGGCCTAGATTTCTTTGTAACGAATGAATAAATGCATCATGTTTGAATTATTAAACAGTGACATGACCTGCGTGTCTTAGCTGATTGGCTGTTTACACCACTGATGTGGAAGTCAGATAAATAAACCGCCTCGACCAGGCAGTCGTCTTCATTCTTGGATTCGTCCCCCGTCGTATTCCTGCCGGGCTTTAAGACAGAGCAACAAACAGGAGGCCCGCGACACGCGCAGACGCCAAGAGGAAGACCAGGATTTCCATGAATTAGTACAAACACAGATGAATTAAACATCAGAGCAGCTTCGACTCCTGAATTCCCGCCACCACCATCTCTAAAAACAGACGATCTATCAGAGGGAGGACACAGAAGGCCTGTCTACACTCAAGATTGACACAGAAAAAAAAAACTTGCTAAAACTGGCTAGGACATCAGCTCCGTCAAAACAGGAAGTTTGCTGGCAGGACTGAGTGGGAGGCTGGCTGCACCGACGCAGGAATGAGACGAAGTAAAGACATAAAAGACAGGATATGCCCAGAATAAATGAGGAGAGGCTTTTTCTACAGAGATAAAAAAAAGAGTCACACAACATGAAATAAGGTCACGATTAGGTCTATTTCCAGATTTAAAAAAGATTACAGTCATTACAGGAGTTATTACATCCCCACTTTAAAAAAGATACATTCGGAAAATAAAACAAAAAAGGCTAAATTATTCATTTTGATTTTTGTAGCATATTTTCAATAAAAATGAAAGAATTAATTTAAGTTGCAGCAGTTTTCCGATACAATCGAGTCCCAGGTTTGCTTTATCGTTTTCAAAACTGTGCTGCATTTAGTGTCCTTCATTCATCGTATTTGCTGAAATTATGTTGACTGGCTTTACAAAGACAAAAAGAAAACATGATTCAACAACATTAAAACAGAAAGCAAGATCATTTCTTCTTGTATCAGCTAAATAACACAGATTGCCATAACTAGATTCTATGACTGAATATCAAAATAAATCACGTTCCTTCATTTGTTAGAGCAAGAACCAATTTGCATATTCACAGATATTGTAAAAAGAGAGATAGAAAATTTCCATAAAAATGTACACCACCATTCCTTCATCAGAAAAATACAAAATAAATCTTAGTGGTTTTAAATGAGCCACGGTAACTGGACAGAGCTGCTCTGTCACAGATGAAACAAAGCATGTCAGACAGTGTGACGCCCTCTGAGCATCTTTTTACCTTCTGACTAAATACAAACAGCTGTTTTCAGTCTGATCGAGTGTGTTCTCTGATACCTGGTTCATCCAGGTGTGCAGCAATTCATGACTCATGAATCCTAAAGACAAACTTTAGTGTTGCTTAAAATAGATTTCAGAAGCCAGACAGATGACAATGTGAAACACTTTTGTGCCAATTTTGGTTATTTCCAGTGAGAGTTTTCTGTATTTGTGTTTCTCTCTTTGCTTTTACAGAGTGGACAGAGCTCACTTGAATGTAAAACTCATAAATAAAATCCAAGAGTATTTTTTTCCTCTAAACTTTAACCTTGGTTGTTGCACATGCAGTCCTTTTTTATTATTAGAAATACAAAAGTAATTTGAAACCAGGATTCAGGGGCTTTCAGTTCAATAAATAATAACACAAAAACACAACTGAAGCATCAAAATCTTTTAAAATGTTGTTTTTACGTCAATATGATGTGAAAGTCCTGTTTTTAATATGTGTGATTAATTAAGTTTTGGGCATATTTTCATTGTTCAAGCTGTGTTGGTGCCTGTGGGTGCTTCAGTGCATTTGTTTTCAGAACATTTTTCCATTCTTGCTCCCTGATCTTGAAAGGTCAGTTCACCCAAATGTCACTTTTCCGATTTTCCAATTTACGTGCTATCTAGCAATGCAAATTGTTTTGTTTTGGAAACATCCACAGCTGAGACATCTGCCACCCCAATACGCTGGAGATAGTTTGTTTGTGCTGCTCAAAGCGCTGAAATTGACATTTGAAAAACTCAACAGCAGCATGTGCCCCCACAAACAAAGTTCCAGGTTTTATTCAGAACTTTAAGTTGAAGATAAGTCTGATTGCAAGATAAAACTAACCGGGTAATTTCATTTGTTTTGTGGGGGATGTCGGCTGTTTTGTTACAGTTTTAAAATGAATGGGGGATCTTTTAGGGCACTTAGTATGTAAGACAAAGTTAGAGAGACACACAGAGACAGAGAGACAAAGCTTCCTTTCTCTAACAGAGTCCAGCTCCACATTCCACTCATTCTGCTGGGCATGACCTGACCGCAACTACAGCTGTATCTCTGTGTCTGTGTCACTGTATTCTGGGAATTCTTCGCTATTTTTCGAGGTTCAGGAAATCCCTGCAAGAATACAGTGGTCACTTATAGACACCGCTTCAGGACCTCACAGAAAAAAAAAACTGTGAATGTTGATGCAGTCGCACAGACAGAAGCTCAGATAATAGTGTTATAAAGTACAGATCTGAACTTTGATTGTGCTAAAACAATTATTACAGCATGTTCCTGATCCTGCTACAGCGACACATGAAGTAAAGCGGACTGAATGAACAGCTACTGATCCAACAGCTGGATATCTTCTGCTAATGTTAGCTCACCTTTAGGCAGCCGAACACAGCGGATAAGGCTGCAACTAACGATTACTTTCATTATCATTTCATTTGTCATTTTCTCAATTAATCGATTAGTTGTTTGGTCCATAAAATGTCCTCAAATGTCCTCAAATGTCTTGTTTTGTCCACAACCCAAAAATATTCCGTTCACGGTCATAGCGGATTAAAGAAACCAGAAAACTTTCACATTTGAGAAGCTAAAAATGTCTTTCTTAGAAATGAATTATTAGCAATATAGCTGGCGATTTATTCAATAGTATTCAATTAATCGATTAATTGACTAAACGTTGAAGCTCTAAAACCAGATTCGCTCCCATGAGTCCGAAAAGTCTGAAGATTTACCTAAAGGATGTTAATTGCTATGAAGTGTTTTAACTACTTTGACTTTGGTTCACTTTTTCATTAGTAGATGAAGTGAAAATAAAGGAGAAAAAAATATCTTCTGCATGAATTATTGCTTCTCTTTTCATACAGACAGCTCAAATCTAAACTTCAGTGGAAATAAACTTTCAGAGCGATTACACAATATGACAAAAACAACCTGTCTGACTGAGCCGCTAATTTGTGTCTTTGGTCTGTCACTTAATGATCTCCTTGAATAAAATACACCTCTTTCATCTCTTTCTGTTGACAGCTCATTATCTTGCCTCTCTTTTGCTCCAAAATAACTTTTCACTAGCTTGCCCTCCACATGCCGCCCAGCTATCCATCGAGACTCTCTGGCAGGGGTTTTCGGGGGGGAAATAAGAATCCACTTTCAGGTTCATCCAGTTCACATTTTGTTATCAGCCAGGAGGCCTGGAAACCATTCTCATCATACACCAGAGGCGCAGGTAATGCATGTATGTAAATAATCAGAATCTGCTTCATAAATACATTTTTTTTTTTTTTAATTAGTATAACAAATTAACTTTTTCACTTGGATTTTAATTCCCAGCATTATGTTTCTTGCTGCCAGAGGGCACTGTTTCACTCTGAACTGGAACCAAACTGGTGAAGACAGTTCAGGTTATGCTTCCAGCAACAAAAAGTGAACAGAAAAATGGGTTGCAAAACTAAGATCGCTGCTGGAGTCCCAAAAAGTACCCAGAAATCTTTAGATTCCAGTTTACACCTGGATTTTCATATTGATATACACAATCTTTGCATCCAGTTTATTTTAAATATTCAAAAATATGAATAAATAAATCCCAGATTTATCTTCTGTTTAAAAAAAAATCTAAATCAAAACAGAAGCTACCTATTCATTGGGATTCTGATCAATACTCCTACTGGCTGAGAGCTTTCAACAGACACTTTCAGGGCCACAATCTGTGCCAAAGGCCAGCGTAGGAGGGGGCAACTTCTAAACCTCCTACTGGACCAAAAAGGAGTCAGAAATAATTGAATATGGATGACCCTGAGGGTCAAAAGGTTTCCAGTCCTGGTCAAACTCCGACAGAAACTGCTGCTTGACATTTTGTACCAAATGAACTGAAAGTGAACTTCCCCAAGACCCTTCCTTCTCTAACACGTCCACATTCGTTCAGCCTCTTCCTCTCGTTTCCTTCAACTCCTCCTGAGTCTGCATTCAGTTCTCCAGATTAACTACAAATATGATTACACTGCTAAAACTTAGTTATTCTAATTATACTGGATGTAAATAATGTCGCTATATAACTCATATAAGTTGCAGTTAGTAATTGGCTCACTGTAGCAGCGTTTGTATGACATGGACTTAGAGTATTACCACCATGAAATAAATTTCCCTTTAAATGGTTTTAAAGATGTCAAAAAGGGTTTTTGAAATTAATGGCTTGATAATATAATAACTTAATACTGATTAGTACAACCCAACTTTTTTTAGAAAACGATAGTAATAATGTTTTTTCTTTTTCAGGAAACAGTCATATTACTTTGGAGTTGTTTTACGCCTGCCAGAAATTCATTAACAGGATTTTACATTTTCAGCCCATTTAAAGGGATATTTCATTACATTAATTACATTCATTATTACATTATCTGGCATTATTGCATTTCTAAAGCAGACATGACACGTTCTTATAGCTAAAACATGATGACTACATTGTGATAAAATTGTATTTCTCAATAGTTATGTGTTCTGTAGATGAAATGTTACATTTAAAAAAAAGATTCTCTGCACTATATATATAATAATGAACCCTCACCTCTAACCCATATTCTCTCTTGCTGCTTATTGATCATCTAGTGCTGGTCAGCTTTGTGTTCATATCACTAGGAAGAAGCTGGCAGTGTCATTAGCTTGGCCAGGTTGTATCACCGTGACCTTTAAACTCATCTAAAAAGTCTCTAAAAAGGTAAAAAGCATCAGATCCGGCCCCTGTCCTGGCTCCTGGAAGCACTTGTTCCCTTTTCCTCAAGCAAACCCTGGAGCAGGGAGAGTTATGTAATTAAAAGTGGCAGTGAATATTTGATCCACAGTTCTTACTGAAGTCTGTTTGATTTACCTCTTGAGCATCTCGAGTCGGAATTAAAAGAAAGAGTTCCAAACTTTTTGAGACATATTAAACTGGTGATCCCGGCTGTGCTGGTTACTCAAACGACAGCAGGTCTGGGTGGGGCTCCGAGTCTTCAGGACTCACTCCGGTGCCTTTACTGTAGGGGGCGCCGTTTCCCATGAGGACCTCCTCGCCCAGGCTGATGCGACAGGGAGTTTTCCCCGAGCAGGGGGTGGAGGCCAGCCGGGAGTCTGGCCCTGACACCTTCTGCCAGACGTCGGAGGACTTAGCTCTGGGCTCCAGCTGCGGGGGGTCTTTGTTGATGAGGTCTGGCACAGAGAGCTGGAGCTGGGGCTGATGTTCCTCCTCGCCTCCTTCAGTGCTCCCGTTTTCCACAGCATCTTCTTCTACTTCTATCGCTCCATCAACTTTGCCGTTGCTTCCCGTCGTGTCCAAATCAGCAGCAGCTTTCTCCTCTGCTGGGTCCAGTGACAACGGGATCTCTTCTGACCCCTCCTCCTCCTTCTCGCCCTGCTGCTGCTCCTCATTGATCCTCAGCTCCTCCTTGGCGATGAGGGGCGTCTTGTCAGGAGAGGAGATGAAGGAGGAAGACTCGGCAGTGTCCGGTGAGGAGACCACGGGGTCAGACGAGATCATCATGTCTTGGGTGGTCTTCAGCGCTCGAGGGAGGCGCTTCTTTCCTGATGGCGGTGGCGGGTCGAGCCGAGGGAAGGAGTCGAAGGAGGAGATGTGGCTGGAAGAGAGGAGAAAAGGGAATGAGGAGAGAGAAAAAATTTAAACAAAATTCTAATTTATATTTATTATACACTTTAAGTGTTTTAAGTCTTTCAAACACTGTTGCCGGGTGACATCCTTGTTGTGTTTTCAAAAATACAGAATTTATTTTCTACATTTCAGTGAAAACAGGTTGACAATAAGAAAGAAAAGAAAAGAAATACCTTTGATTTTTATAAGAACATTAATAAAGTAACAAACTGGTGAGCTTTAGAAAGTATCCACTTCCAAATTAATCAATTAAACTGCAGGAGGTTTGCAACACATGCAGTGTCTTCTTCATGAAAGAAACTAAACCCTAAAAAGGGAAAAATAGAAAACTTATATTTTCCAGCAACAGAGAATATAAACCATTCGTTCACACTGGTCAGTGAAAACTGTCAGAAACAGTTGAGATTTTGGGAAGAACCTCTCGCATTCCAAGCGAGAATCATACCCCTAGTGTAAAGCTGAAATGCATGACATGAACTAGATACGATAAATTAGAAACAGCTGATGCATTGTGTATTGATGAACTGGGTAAAATATAGATCGAATTAGAATTGTGGCCAATTACCATTAGAAGGTGCAGGGTACAGCAAATCTAATGGCTGCTCGTTGTGCACTCAAGCTGTCTATAAAAACATACTTATTTCTCAGGTTGCTCCCTACAATGACAGAAAATTACCATGGTAACCCCCGGTGATAAGAAAAAACGTATTATTACCGCTGCATGACCGTTCACTGGAGCTGATAGGGATGCAAACAAAGAGTTCAATATGCACTGCTGTGCTGTATGAGAATATAAAGAGGCCAGACATATTTTTGTTATCAGGGGATGGAAAACTAGAGCAAGTCCACCTTGTATGTATGTCTTCTTCTCAGATGATTCAATATGTATCTGGATACACAGTCCATGGTCCAGTAGAAAAACAATACTGGTAAATTTGTACTGATATATTAATATTCATTCAACTGCATTTGGATTGAAGATTTTTAGTAAAAGTTTTACTAGACTAAATGTATTATTTCCTCAACTTTCATTTCAAATACCCCAGAAATGTCTTCTGCCACACCCACAGTAGTAAACATGTAACCTGGTGTGTTACACAGAACCATCTTAAGCAGTCATTAGAAACTGTTTGGAAAAGGGCAGGCACTTCCAAAAAGTACTTGGTATGTGATTGGATGAACCAATGGTCTTTCACTGTCTATCATTGGCAAACCAATCAGATAAAAAAACATAATGTATTCAAGCTACTACTGAAGTTAGTAAGGAGAAGGGCAAAAACAGATTTTCCATCAAGAAAAGCCTTTAGTGCCGTTCTTTCCTCTTCTTTCAATGAAGAAATACTCTCCTGTTCTGATATAGCTGATGCTAGCAGCATCCATGATAACCTCTTTAGCAGCCACCATTGTCCGTAAGCAGTGTTCAGACAGAAGAAGTGCAGAGCTTGAAGCCAGGAA